AGCTCAACCTCCAGCCCTACTCGCGTGAAGAGTTCGGCCAGAAGTACCCTCACGATGTCCAGTGTGAGATCTATAGGGGCACCGGCTCTAAGTTCTGTCGGGTAAGTTCTAACTTCACCATGTCCAGTGTGAGATCTATAGGGGCACCGGCTCTAAGTCCTGTCGGGTAAGTTCTAACTTCACCATGTCCAGTGTGAGATCTATAGGGGCACTGGCTCTAAGTTATGTCGGGTAAGTTCTAACTTCACCATGTCCAGTGTGAGATCTATAGGGGCACCGTCTCTAAGTCCTGTCGGGTAAGTTCTAACTTCACCATGTCCAGTGTGAGATCTATAGGGGCACCGGCTCTAAGTTCTGTCGGGTAAGTTCTAACTTCACCATGTCCAGTGTGAGGTCTATAGGGGCACCGGCTCTAAGTTCTGTCGGGTAAGTTCTAACTTCACCATGTCCAGTGTGAGGTCTATAGGGGCACCGGCTCTAAGTTCTGTCGGGTAAGTTCTAACTTCACCATGTCCAGTGTGAGATCTATAGGGGCACCGTCTCTAAGTCCTGTCGGGTAAGTTCTAACTTCACCATGTCCAGTGTGAGATCTATAGGGGCACCGGCTCTAAGTTCTGTCGGGTAAGTTCTAACTTCACCATGTCCAGTGTGAGATCTATAGGGGCACCGGCTCTAAGTCCTGTCGGGTAAGTTCTAACTTCACCATGTCCAGTGTGAGATCTATAGGGGCACCGGCTCTAAGTTCTGTCGGGTAAGTTCTAACTTCACCATGTCCAGTGTGAGGTTTCAAATATTGATTTTAACGCGGTTAAATCTACAGGTTTCCTAGCTGTTCATTGAAAACACAGTATGTTTATCTCCATTCTAACATGACTATTAATTGTACTTGATATTATTGCAATATGCCTTCCGAAAGTGACTGTAAAAGAAGTACTATTCTAAATATTTGCGGCAGTCAAATCGGCTCTTTCAATCACAGAGGGTTTATTGTGATTTGATACTTCAGACTGACCAATCAAAATCGAGTATTTTCCAAATTTAGGGTAGAATGACAATTTAAGTTCCATTGAGTTACTGTTACTAAATGTGATGACCTGGACACTCCTGATTTACTGGTATATGTTGCCTTCCAGTCCCTGTACTTCAACAGCACCCAGACGTTCGAGGACCTGTGTTATGAGTTGTATTGCTTTGATCCGGTGAAGAATCTGTGTTTCCCCACTCTGGCGCATGATGGCACTACTTGCGGGAACAAGAAGGTAGGAAATACCTGTCTGATAAAAAAACACAATCCGAACCATCTCTTGATGGTACAACTGTAGGTACATGTAGGTATACGAAGGTACGATGTACATGTCTGACGTCTGAATAATTATCTCATAAAGGCACTACTTGTAGGTAGACACATACAATCTGAACCTTTGCGAATCTTTCACCACCTCGTCTGTGACTTGTTCTCTGAATCGAAATTTCTATGAAATAAATTGGAAAAATATGTTATGTCAGTTAACAACAATCTCTAGACAACAACGTTAACACATGACTTTATTTCCCGTCCCTGCAGTGGTGTCGTGCCGGCCGATGTGTGTCGTCACCACAAGCGCCGGGAACAGCAGGTATGTTGAAGCACAGGAGTCCGTATCTAAAAATAGACGCCCTCATGCATATTCATGACCATCTCCACACGCGAGCCCGGGCTCGCGTGTGGAGATGGTCATGAATATGCATGAGGGCGTCTATTTTTAGATACGGACTCCTGTGGTTGAGGTTTATGTCAGGCACGTATGTTGTCAGGCATTGGATGAGAGAGTGAGTGTTGTTTTGCGTCTCAGTCATAAGTATTCTAGGTACATCACGTCGACCTCACACAAACAAGTGTACCATGACTCCATCAGCCACGTCTGAGATTTTGACAGCCTGATCCATACTTTAGCATGTTCCATACTTCATACGAAAGCAGGGGGCACGGTTGGCCCAGTCGTCTAAGGCGCCGCGATTCGCTGTGCAGAGTTGCGTCCCTTGGGCACGCCAGAAACCTATGATTGTGGGTTTGAATCCCGGTTCGCCCCAATTATGTTTCTAGGTTTGTCAGCACCATGCCCGTGCTCGTGGGTTTCACCGGAGTGGTAAACGTCTGAGACCTGCATCACTTCGGGCTTTCCTCCCACATTAAGCTGACACGCCGTGATATAACTGGAATACTGTTAAAAGCGGCGTTAAACCCAACTCACTCACTCACTCACTCATACGAAAGCATAGGTCCCATGAGTGTGTTAATGTTAAAGGTCACTTGATGCAGTATGTCAGCTTAAAGTGGGGGTAAGGACGTAAACCGTTACACTTTTGGTGAAACCCACGAGCTCGGGTATTGTGTTAACAAGCCGGACACAATATATATATTCTGTGAATATTACCTTCAATAATACCATTAAGGGCTAGGGGTGAGTGGATTGGGTTAAACGCCGCTTTTAACAGTATTACAGTTATATCACGGCGTGTCAGATTAATGTGGAGGGAAAGCCCGAAGTGATGCAGGTGTCAGACGTTTACTACTTCAGTGAAACCCACGAGCACGGGTATGGTGCTGACAAACCAAGAAACATAACCGGGATTCGAAGCCACAATCATAGGTTTCTGGCGTGCCCAAGGAACTCAACTCTGCACAGCGAATCGCGGCGCTTTAGACGACTGGGCCATCTTGAAACACAACGCGGTGGTATTGCTTGTTTTGTGAGCTGATGTGACGGTTGGCTTCGGCATAGTATGACTCCTGTTACTCAAATAAATGCATATATTGGCATATCAATCTGTCCTTGACAATTAATAATCTCTCCTATTTGAAGAATATTTTTATTCATATGACATATTTTCTCTGAATTTTTTTTTTTTCGTTCTAGAAAATTGTCCCGCGGGAGATGACCCGGATGTTATATGTGCCACAAATATATGCAATGACGTCACAACACGTGACGTACTCTGTTGTGGCACGTGCAAGCTGGTGGAGCTGCCTCCAGTGGCTCCGCCCTTTATTTCAACCATCGTCACGGTGTCGCCTGTCTTCCCGCCAGTCCAGCCAAATCCGCCCCCCTTCCCCACCATATTCCAACAGAACCCTTTCCCGCCGCAGAACACTTTCCCACCCCAAAATCCCTTCCCACCCCAAAATCCCTTCCCACCCCAAAACCCATTTCAACCTCAAACCCCTATCCAGCCCCAGAACCCATTTCTGTTCCCAAATCCTTTTCAATTTCAACCGCAAACCCCATTTCAACCCCAAACCCCTTTTCAACCCCGGAATCCTTTCCCACCTCAACCCGCGCCTCGGCGATTTAGCTTCTTTGATAATTTTGACGCCAGATTTAACAATATATTTCAAAATTTGAATAATCGAATTGGAGGATTTACATTCGGTAAAAAATAAGATTGGTGTGAAATTTTACGCAATATGTTAACTGAACGTGGCAGTATCTAATAAATTAAGTCCAAATTCTTTTCTTTTCCTAGAATTGAATGATTATATTTCTTTTAGTGATTGTTGGATAGTGGTATATTTTGAACGGATGTTCCACCTTGTTGTATATCGTCCAAACAAAGGGGAAATAAGTTCATTCCGAACCTATCCATCACCGTAATTACATTTTAACCATTCAATTAGTTTTGGGTTACATCATTATTCCAGACTACACAATTAAAGTCAAACAAATAGAACCCAATAAATCCAAATGGGGAGAATTCCTTTTCGTGGGCGGCCTCTCCACGCATGAGAAGTTTGGAAGGACCTTTTATTTTACGTTCTTTTTGATCTTGGAAATATGGCCTTTTCGTCTAGTTTGTGTGTGGAGTGAGCGCGGCTGTTGGTGGGTGCGCGCGTGGGGTTCTGTGTATGCGTGGTGTGTATTTGATGTGTGTGTGGTATGGGGTGTGTGCGTGCAGTGATGCTGTAGTAGAATGCTTTTTATCACTTTTGTATGAATTAATGTCTGTTCTGATTATTCAAGTTTAAATTTCCCCAAATATTATAACAATATATACATATCACCCCATGGCTATGTAGCTGTTGAATAATCATGGACTGAATAGATATCTATGTATAGTGCAGTCACGTAGACTCGTGTATGTTATCACCCAAGTCATGTTTGTAATAAACGAGATTTTAAACCCACTGTGTTTTATGTGTGTCGAGTAACACGAGAAAGAGAATTTTAACATGGAACTCGAGAACAACCTCATGGAAAGCGATCTTAAAACTTTGAAACATAATCCATTTCCAAAACAATCAACGTGTCTACAAATTTATGAGTGAGTGAGTGAGATTTAACACCACTATTATTTCAGTAATATCACGGCATGACAGCTTGATGTGAGAGGACAACCCGAAGTGATGCAGGTCTAGATGTTTTAGATCCGGGGTAGAATGGGTCTTCAGCAGCCCAGGCTTGCCGTAAGAGGCGACTAACGGGATCGGGTGGTCACCCCGACGTGTTGTCCATCGTAAACGTACACTACTTCAAACCACCCACGAACACTGGCATCGTGCCGATAAATCAAGAAACATAATCCAGGCGAATCTTGGATTCGGACCAACAATCATAGGTTTCTAGCCCCTAAGGGACGCAACTCTGCTCAACGGAATACGGCGCCTTACTCGACGGGACTCGTGTCCCCACCGTGTTGTTAACGTCCGGTGCAGAATGCTTATGTTCCCTGTCGTTTAATATCAACATTCCGTTTGTCTCGAGCTTTGGATAACTCAACATATTTTTTATTATAACCTGGAATGCATCTCCAGATTAAGTGAGTGAGTGAGAATGGTTTTACGCCGCTTTTAGCAATATTCCAGCAATATCACGGCGGGGGACACCAGAAATGGGCTTCACACATTGTACCCATGTCGGGAATCGAACCCGGGTATGGTGTGACGAGCGAACGCTTTAACCACTAGGCTACCCGACCGCCCCCATCTCCAGATTAACCGATCATGTAAAGACTCCTCACAAAGATTACTGTCATAAGGCGTTTATTCTCATGATAGTGACAAGAGTAGATTAAATTATATAAAAATAAACAAATCTGAAGTACACAACACGAACAGGCAGGCATATTGAGCAAACAATTCCAAATAATACACATGTACAACTAATAAACATATCTGGTGCTTACAATGAACAAATACACACAATGTTGAAATCTTCTGAAACTATGATATTTATCTCGTTTACAATATTGGATTTATCACTCAGATGAATGACAACCATACTTTTCAAACACTTATGAAGTTACAACTTCTACAGAATATATCACGTTATTAAATTTTGACATGATACCTCGAAACTTTGAAGTTTCGTCGATGTCTACCGGGTATCCACATATTTTCAAACAATATCATCTGGAGGAAACAATCATCAACATCCCCAGATGGAATTTACATATAATGATTACGACTATGTGAAAATGATTATTTCCCAACCAGATTTACTTGCAAACTCTTCCTTCTTTACCACATCTGGGGTCTAATTCTAATTAAAACGAACGTAAATGAGAGTAAATATTGAGAAATGATATTGTAATGGACACACTGGCTATAAACAAAAGTCAAACAGAAATGGATTTGCTGTAGAATTGTGGATGTTTTGAGACATGCATCGTCAGTTTCATTCAAAGATTCGCTTGGTCTGCATGGCCCGAGTCAAAACAAAGACGTTTCAAAATACTTCATCTGGATGATTCAAACGCTTTTAAATTACTTCAACAAAACAGTTTTTATGTTAATCAAAAGACATTTTGTTGAGAAATAGGTTTAATTAAATTTAACAAGATTGATCACAGAGTTTTCCGAAATTACTTTTTGACCAGACCGGATCACAGAAAGCAAGGCACTCAAGGCCGTGTTACCAGTCGAATTCGAAGGCATCATCTCCTCCCATGAGCATCCAGCCGTTATTCATGCCGTTGTTGCGAGCGTTGTTAAAGAAGTTCCCTCCATTGTTACGGCGGTTGTTACGACGACGCCACCACCACTGGTTATTCTGAGGGCGTTGAGCCCATCGGCAGCAAGGTTGGTACCAGCGTTGGTAACACCAGTTGTAGTAACGATATACGCGGCAGTAGTTGGAGTTGAACTGGGGCGGCCGGTTCTCCACGCTGGAGCTGCCGCCGCTATTGGACTGACTTTGATCAGGGGTAGTTGTGGCACTAGTTGTCCGGCTCGTGGTAGGACTTGTTGTTGGGCTAGTGGTTGCACTTGTTGTTGGACTTGTTGTTGCACTTGTTGCACTAGTTGTTGCACTTGTGGTTGCACTAGTTGTTGCGCTAGTTGTTGGACTTGTTGTTGCACTCGTCGTTGGACTTGTGGTTGCGCTGGTTGTTGCACTCGTAGTCGGGCTAGTTGTTGCGCTAGTTGTTGCACTTGTAGTCGGGCTAGTTGTTGCGCTAGTTGTTGCACTCGTAGTCGGGCTAGTGGTTGCACTTGTCGTTGCGCTAGTGGTTGCACTTGTCGTTGCGCTAGTGGTTGCACTTGTTGTCGGACTAGTGGTTGCACTTGTCGTTGCGCTAGTTGTTGGGCTAGTTGTTGCACTTGTCGTTGCGCTAGTGGTTGCACTTGTCGTTGCGCTAGTGGTTGCACTTGTTGTCGGACTAGTGGTTGCACTTGTCGTTGCGCTAGTTGTTGGGCTAGTTGTTGCACTTGTCGTTGCGCTAGTGATTGCACTAGTGGTCGCACTTGTCGTTGCGCTAGTTGTTGGGCTAGTTGTTGCACTTGTTGTTGCGCTAGTGGTTGCACTAGTGGTCGCACTTGTCGTTGCGCTAGTTGTTGGGCTAGTGGTTGCACTTGTTGTTGCGCTTGTGGTTGCACTTGTCGTTGCGCTAGTGGTTGCACTTGTTGTTGCGCTAGTGGTTGCACTAGTGGTTGCGCTAGTCGTTGCACTTGTCGTAGCACTAGTTGTGGGGCTAGTTGTTGTAGCACTAGTTGTTGGGCCTACAGTTGTAGGGTTTGCATTACACGTTTCACAGCAGTACTGCTCTCTGGTCTGCTGGGTCAACTGGGAGCAGATACCACTGCTGCAGGAGAACTTGGTGTCATCTCCGTGGGGACAGTCATCTGCAGGAGAAAAGCAGCTGAGTCAGAGCCGGTAGGCAAAGGGCATATGTGTTATGCAGTGCGTCATAATGATAGCTTCAATACATGAAAGAGTGAATATCGTTTTACGTAACACAAATACACCTGCAAAAGCATGGCGGGCTGTAAATAAACCACTCCGGGGCAGACAAACCAGTAGCTCAAGGTACAAACAAGGACAGGGTGCAACCACCTGATTCTTTCTGGTTGGCTGTTACAAGCATGGGGGACTGGATTCACCGTGTGGAATCATGTTTGGTTTTACGAAATTCAATGTTGATTATCCATATTTACTTTAATTATGTACATTAAGACTGGATTTTGACTGGCCACACTGTATATAAATTATTTAGATTCATCTACCTTGGATGTTTTCGCTATATACAGCGCCATATTTAAAAACCGAATGAAGGGTGAAGTTTCAAATTTAAAACTTATGTGATTTGAAACCTCTGATCAATAAGAATGGTGTATTATCCATTATCATGGTTAAATTGGTTTAGCGATATGTAACACTCACCATAAGCCGCCGGGGCAGCTGGGTCCGCCACGCACTGTCCTTGAACACACCACTGTAATAGAAACGGATCAATGTACAGTCAGTTATGTCGCCATATATCTTTCAATACCAACTTTCACGAACACAAAGGTTCATTTAACAACACAAAATACCACTTGCAAGTATAATATGTATACACCAGAGACACAACACCAAGAATAAGGAGTGATTAAGGCTGAAGCCAATGTCAGAAGCGAACCCAATTCAACCAACGTTTGAGCGTTAATGAGTGTGATGGTACCATGATATAACGGAACGACCTGATTCGGTTTGTTAAATTATTTGATTAACTTTAACAAAAGTAGAATAGATAAATAGTATGCGGACAGCTTCCTTTTTCTATGAACTTATTAAAGGTCATTTGGTAATGGTAGTTATCTTTTGACTAGTCATTTAAACATGTATTTTACTAGACAGACAATACACATTAAATCCTTGAAATATTCATTGTACTCTACCAAGATTTTAGACTTTAACTTCTACTTTTATTTCGTCCACTTAATTTAAATGCCTTTCGAAAAAAACAATCCCTAAGAGAAGCATTAACAAAAACAGTTGCAGCTTTTGTGTTCCCAGCAACGTTACGACCTCTGCGCGACACGAATACACACACTGGTATTTAATTCCTACCTTTTTGTTACCGCACGTGGTGTATTCCATGGGGTACATAGCCGTGCACTGATTGGTGGAGCCGGGCAGGTAACACCACATGATGTAGCAGAGGCTATCGTATGTGGTTCCGTTGTACGCAGGCTGCAACATGACGTTATGGGACACTTAAATCAACTTCCACTTTCAAATGTACCCAAAAATTATTTTTCGTGACAGAGTTCTGTTATGTCAATATATTTATCGAATAAGTATATCAAAACTATTACAAGTATGTAATTGAATCATAATATACATGCAGTATTACGCTCTAGTGATGTTGATCAAGAACATTTTGATATATAATGAGGTTTGTATCTAAATTTGATGTTAGTAAAAGCTCATACAACCTTCTTATATTGAACTATTGCAAATCAACCACTTTATTGAATTTAAAATAGTTTTATCAGAAAAGTATGGGTAGATTTTCTATTTCCAGACACTTGTTCTTATGATATTGTCGGAATCGTACAATGAACTTCTTATAATTGTAGACATGGTTTTGTCACCTTTAGTTCTAGAGCATTAAAGATATAATACTTAATGGTTTGTATTTAACACGGAACCATTATGACTTTCGGTCACGAATGGTTAGACATGTTTTCAAGGTAGCTTCTCATGAAATCATTACACTCTAATTATTAGTTTGACTTAATCAGCTTGTGTTCTACTCACCCTGCAGAAGTCCGCTCCGACGTTGTTCTGGCACTGCTGGTCGGGCGAGTACTGCTGACCGTATCTCACACTGCTGAAGTCGACGCTGGACGCAACGTTGTCTTCTTTGGTGCAGGTAACACTGAAACACAAAAGACGGGTTTCATTTCATGTTGTTTGTTTATTTGCTTGTTTGTTGTTTAACGTCGAGCTCAGCGATATTCCAGCTGATATGACTGCAGTCTGTAAATAATCATGCTTGGACCAGACAATCCAGTAATTGACAGCATGAGCATCATTTTACAATTTCATGTCGGGGATAAGTAAAGCATCTCCGTGCATGTACGTGTGTGTGTTCGTGTGGCTGCTTGTACGAGTCCGGACTGATGCTGATTTATAGTGCTAGCTCACTGAGATACCATGCCGCAGTTTAACATGAATACCCCACTCAGACACAGTATACTGACTCCGAGCCGACCAGTCCTTGTTTTAGCCCCTTAACGCCGAGCGCCAGACAGGGTAACAGCAAGTACCATTTTTTAACTCTTTTTGGGCGGACGCTCTACCATTAGACCACGGAGGCGGTCGACAACCTAAGAATAATAATCAGACACGACTAAGTGACGACATTCTGCACAGCGAATTGCAGTGCTATAGATGGCTGGCTCGCCCGAACATCTACTTCACGAGGAGCTATCATAGTATGCCGCTTAACATTGAAACAACTCTTGGATATGAACACTCACCTTGCACGTCCGAGATACTCAGCAAAGCTGCTGACTGAGCAGGGTGTCCACGTCCATGGCCTGGAGCTGGTGTCGCGAGTTACGAACTGCAGTATAGACGCCATGATGAAGTTGCTCTCTGTGCAAGAGACGGCGCTATCCTCACCGTCGTGGTCGCCGTTGAGACTGAAACAGACACATGTTGTCAGAACGTCTGCAGGTGATGTTATGTTGTTTGTGTTTTGTTTGAGGGAAGCTAGTTCATGTTGTTGTTGCAATCACACAAACGGACCGCGCGATTGCACTCGTCTACGGACACCGTAAAAACGTACTGTAACAACCGTCTTGTTGCACATGAAATGGTTTATTCAAAACAGAGTCGAACATCGTCCAAAGAACATGATTTTAAAACCGTTAACAATTAGCTCAATTAGCTCATTTGATTCATTTCTTGGTTCGATTCCACACGTGGGTACAATTCTTGGTTTTGCCCGCTGTGACATGCTGATGAAGCAACACAAAACCCATCTGACTCACACATTATGTCTAAATCTGTAGACAAAGCATCTCATACCTGTGTCCCAGTTCATGGGCAGCGGTAGCGGGTGTAGCTCCTGCGAAACTGTTTTCAACAACAGAGACGGAGTCTCTCTCACAAACTGACTCACTCAGCGCGACACCTGGATCAAACAAAACAAATGTTTACTTTCATACGTTTGTTGCTCTTTTCCACGAAATATCATTTCATTCAATACTTTATTTATTTAGTTAGGTGTTATATACCAGATGTTATCCCCTGCACGTCCCTCCTAGGTCACAAAAAGTTTTAAAAGCAGAATTGACGATTGTACTGGGTGGAGTCTTGCATCTTAATTTTCTCAACTAATCCAAAATGCCCATACTTACTAACTATAAATATGACATTCTGTATTAAAATCATTCTTACCTGTTCGTCCAGAATTTCCAGCATTTGACAAGTCATACCTGAAAAATCACAAATCAAGGCTTTATTAAGAGGGGGAAATATTGACCACTGAATGAATGCATTTCGTGTTGCAGAGGTGTGAAGTTTGGTTCCTTGCATTTCCTTACTATGCCGCCATGTTATAGGCCATGGGTGTCATGTCTAAAGACAGAAAGGAAAGCCGGCGACATTGTTTATTAGACGTTAATGTTCATGGCCGTACTATTTGGGCGGAATGTAGTATGACGATAGACTGATATTATTGCTTACCCGGAAAACAACATGTAATGATCGTTCTTGGGTAGGCTGGTAAAATCCTGGGCTTCAACCCAACTTTTGAATTGGTTAAGAGCAGTCTCGGAATCCAACAGGTTGGTGGCGCTGTCGCCGGAGGCGCTGGTGAAGTTGGACAAAGCTGGATCCTGCAAGATACGTTTTCTGGTTTATGTGATAGAAGAGCATCAAATAAGGGTTGCTTTCCCTGGGTGCATATAGAACCGCTTCTGGCAACGTAATTATATGCGAATCCAGATAACAAGATCCCGATTTATAGTGCTAGCACACTGAGATACCATGCCGCAGTTTAACATGAATACCCCACTCAGACACAGTATACTGACTCTGAGCCGACCAGTCCTTGTTTTAGACCCTTAATGCCGAGCGCCAGACAGGGTAACAACAAGTACCATCTTTTAACGTCTTTTGGTATGACGCGGCTGGGGATCGAACCCCGGACCTTCCGCTCTTCGGGCGGACGCTCTACCATTAGACCACGGAGGCGGTCAACAATGTCATGAGGAACATAGAAGTACAATATGAAAGATGATCCATGCATACTCTTCAGTTAATTGTAAGATACAATTTACACATTTGGATTGAACAAATCAGAACCAAGTTTTGAATACCTAAGCAGGGGAATGTGAAAATTGAGTTCTCTTACCGTAATTATTCGAATCTCTGTAACCTCAATGGCAATACTCAGAGTTGAACCAGGAACACTTTGGACATTAACGAAACGATCGTTCATCTACAAGAAAAACACAACAACATATTAAATTAAAATATTAACAGTGGTAGTGAAGTTTGAGTGTTATTGGTCGTATTAAAAATATATTATCGCCGAACCAGTTTTCTTTCGGGTCCGTTTACGCTTGTCATGTCAAGATGTATTACCCCTAAATATAAGATTGAGTGAGTGAGTTTGATTTCACCCCGCTTTTAGCAATATTCCAGCAATATCACGGCGGGAGACACCAGAAATGGACTTCACACATTGTACCCATGTCGGAAATCGAACCCGGGTCTTCGGCGTGACGAGCGAACACTTTAACAACTAGGCTACCCGACCGCCCCCCTAAATATAAGAACGAAGTGGTCTTACCGATGCAGCTACGGCGGTATAGTACAGGTTCATTTGACTGAGAACATCCGCCTGTGTTGTCTGAAGTTTTTCAGTCCATCTGAAATACATTAAATAGTGTTATAGTGAGTGCGTTGAGTTTATAAGAACATTTCAGTTACATCCCCGCATTCCAGCATCGTGTGGAAGGGTATCCAGGGTATATTTATCTTTAGCCAAGTATTTGTACATACCTCTCGAAATCCCTGGCATCGACGACAAAAATGACCTCCACAATGTGTTGGTCTACCTGGCGTCTCCTCCTCACATCTTCATCTTGGTCGTTGCTAGGGGGATTAGGCGCTGAAATGTATGAAGAAACCCTTGAGATGCTGATGAAAGACTAATTTTCTCTTCAAATTAAATTTACATGGGGAAAGAACTAATTAATTGAAGAATATGGTCCGTTTAGTTGGAAGAGTCCTTGGTAACCTTGAATGTATGTTTCAGGTGAATGTGGTAAATACACCCTCGGTTGAGGCACATATTTTTGACATCTTTCTGAAATGAAAGATCTATCTTTTTCTTTCTTTCTTTTTATGATTTCACTTGCTTTGATTTATTTGAAACTTATGCATTTCACCCCAACATCGTCATCTTAACATGTCGAGCGATATGTTGCTTTGTTATCAGAATAATACCTGTATGTGTGCTTTCGATCTCCTCCGGGGAACCCCGAGGCACCTTTTAAAGGCTAAAAAGCGAACAATTTACATGTAAATGGGCTGACCCATGTATACAATGGACACTGAGGCCAGGCCCAACTATGTCTACACACTGTAAGTGAATACTGAAGGAGACTCACGGAGAGGGTTAGGGTTGGGGATGGCATCCCCCGTGTTATTCACATTCTCGACATTCTTGTGAATCACATGATCACCAGCATCACCATTCTCTCTTCTGAAGCGGTTGAGTGGTACAATGTTTACTTCCTGGCCGTCCAACACCAGGCTACCCTCCTGGCCATCAAAGATAAACATTTCTCAATAAATTACATGTTTATGCAAATAAGAAGGTCAACTAAGCACTTGGTAACATTACTATTTGATAGTAATTAATAAACACACGCTTATGCTATAGTAGGAATCGTACATTGAGAGATTTGTTATGATTATTGAAAGAGTTTTGTCGTTGTTGTTATAATTAATTACAGATTAAATAATAACAATAACGACATTATTATTATTATTAAACGTCGTGGGGATACAAAAAACTCAATAACGGCATTGTATTAACTATTAGTTTAAGTAGGATTATGTCGTCATGTCCTACTTGAAGTGACACTCTTAGTGCACAACCTGAAAGTGACACACATTCTACTGGACCCGTGAAGATTCCGGGGTAGAATAGGTCTTCAGCAACCCATGCTTGCCGTAAAAGGTGACTATGCTTGTCGTAAGAGGCGACTAACGGGATTGGGTGGTCAGGCTCCCTGGCTTGGTTGATGCATGTCATCGATCCCAATTGCGTGGATCGATGCTCATGATGTTAATCACTGGATTGTCTGGTACAGACTCGATTAGTTTACAGACCGCCGTCATATAGCTGGAATATTGCTGAGTGCGGCGTTAAACAACAAACAAACAAAAACCTACTTGAAGTGAAAACAATGAGAACTGACCACATCATATGTCTCTTCTCCTGCCGATCGTTTCTTGACCACGAGGGAGGCGCCACTTTCGCGGTCGGTGTAAACGCCAGCATTCTGAAATAAGGTTCCAGTTTTGTAGAATGTGAGCGAGGCAGCATGAGATATATGTTGAGCATACATGAGTCTGACTTCAGAAATATAATTAAGATGTTGATTTGCTCAGTCTATAATAACAATATTAATGTTCACATTTGGTTTATTAACGAAATTAATGGACAATTAGAGATTTCGATACTCTTGAATCCTGCAAGGTGGAGTTAGAACATCCAACGTAACTTTACAGCAAATGTTGGCATTTGGAGACAACAGTCCAGGTGGAATAATGAATATTTTACATGTCACAGGAATAATTATTACCTGTGTGTTCAAAGTGTGATCCCGCAGCCCGTCAAGACTGAGGACAGTGGATCGTATCGCGGGTGTTCGTCGTAGCCTCAGGGGTACGTCTTTACCCTCAGCCTTCACTCGAAGATGTAGAAAGGAGGGCAGCTCATCAGCTGTCGAGCGTTTGGCTCTGGAGGCAGCATTTCTATCAAGCTCGATCTTTGCTTTTACTGCAAGATGAACACACAAATTGATAACAGTATTACATATATATAATTGGAAAAGCAACTTCTAATTTAATTCAATTAATCGTGAAGGAATAATTGTTATGGTAACATTTGAACGCCAATATCGTTCGTCCAGTAGCACCCGCTATGTCTGAAGTTCTTGTACTGTCATGTCGGTTTTCAATTGTAATGTCTATCATTAATGGAATATTAACTAAACTGCCGCGCAAAAGAAGGTATGCACCCATGTTTGATGATGACTCAAAATGAAACAAACAAGAAATGGTTAGTCGATGGTGGTGTATTTGATACTGGCAACATAGTTATGTTTTGGACCTTACGTTTGCAGTGTCTCGGCAACTGTTCAGTCTAGTAACACTTTTTTAACGTTTCTGGTCAAATCCAATTTGAAATAGTATACTTTGTTTCTGCCCTTCAGTTTATGTTGAGATATTGGCATGTTTAAATACTATAATGCTACAAATAATGTTTTCTCAGTGGTCTTAGCTAAACAAATTTTCTTTTGTCAGTGGTAACATTATGTATGCAAGGCAAAATGACCTTATTTAAACTAGACAAACATTAATGACGTTGAGAAAGACGTCACTCTGAGAAGACATGTTTCATGTCTCATGTTTATGGTTAAGGGTATGTTGATGTTCACACATCTGATATTAACTGCATGGAATTTAGGATTAGCGTTGGGGCACGACACGCGAGAGGCTGCGTTACCTCATGTATATTCATGTAATGGACTGTTTCTTCACATTAAGAGTATGAACTATGTATAGAATGCGACCTTGGTGTTGCTTGTTTTCTATTGGCTTAGGCTGAGGTTGATTGATTGACTATTCAGACATACACAAAAAGTTCAAGCAGCAAATCGTCGTGATATGTCAAATAATTGATATATTGACTAGCCAGTGTCGTTGTAGGGTCACCTCTGATGTACATGACAAAACATTGTAAATAATGTAAATATTACAACATACACACATCATTTATACATCTCAAACATTGCATGTTCATCTAAGCATTTAGGTAGATTAGTGGTTGGTGTCTTTGTCATTTGATAATGTGTAATTTGAGTGTAACATCACATTTTAATGTTCTCAATTTTCTTAATTTAGTGAATACAGAAACATTGTAATTATTACAAGAAAAAACATCGGAGGAATTTATTTTTGAAAGCATGTTTAAAAGCCAATGTAAATAAAAATCGAACCTGAGATTCATATAACTGAATTGTGTTATTAGATTTCAAAGCATCAAACTCCAAGGGTAAACTTTTCAATAGCATTAAGATCACAAGTAATGCAATGATCGGAACACGAAGGCATAACAGTTTTAAGATGCTTTTGAAATTATTCCAAATGTTTTAAATAATATCAATGTAGCATTGGTTGATTAAGAATAGAAAGGTAAAAGACAATTGAAATAAACACTTACAAGATCCATGTGGGATTTCATCAAAAAGTGGTAAAGCTGCAAGTTGCACAAAAAATACTGAACAAAGCCATAAAAGGTGCATCGTGGATTTCATATGCCTTCAAACCCTGTCCTTCGTCGTCCAGCAAGTGCTATCAAATGTTACTACTAGAACTGTTGGTTGTTACTTACGCTCCTCTGAAACCTCTTGCCTTATATACAGCTGGTTGGCCTGTTAGATCACCGAAGGACAGCTCTGATTGGTTGATCACAGTTATCGAAAACAATCGATGAGCAAAACAGGTATGAAAACAAGTGGATTCTACGAACGTTCCGCTGTTCCATGACGTCACGAACATACGCCCTCATGCGTCTGTGTCACGTGACTGAGTTGTGAACGCTTCAGTGACCATCTTATTGACAAAATCATGTCTGGGGTATTACGCCCTGAGTAATTTCTAGAAGGAAACACAAATATTTAGGGATGATTTGACTGACGTTTTTCATAATTGTCATGTTGAATGGTGACCTTGATAGTTTTTACCTTGAGTCAACAATTTAATTTATCTGGTATATTTATTTTATTCCGTTGGAGAATATTAATACTTTTCAGGTGTTTGGTGTTTGTGATGTCATTGATAGGATGGTGTTGGTGGTTTAGGTATTCAATGTTTTTTTCAAATTGTGTCATGATTTATATATAGGAAGAGGTGTTGTATCCTAATAGAATGTCAGTTGGTTGGTTTGTTGTTTAAAACCGCACTCAGCAATATTCAAGCTATATGACGTTGGTCTGTAAATAGTCGAGTCTGGACCAGACAATCCAAAGATTAATATCATAAGCATCGATCCACGCAATTGGGATCGATGACATGCATCAACCAAGTCAGCGAGCCTGACCACCCGATCCCGTTAGTTGACTTTTACGACAAGCATAGTCATCTTTTACGGCAAGTATGGGTTGCTGAAGACCTATTCTACCCCGGAATCTTCACGGGTCTAGTAGAATGTGTGTCACTTTCAGGTTGTGCACTAAGAGTGTCACTTTCAGTGTGTGCACTAAGGGAAGTCATTCTGATACAGACAAATTAGATTTCAGTGTATTTACTAACAGATCGTATTACCATGATCTACGACAAGACAAGAATACAACAATATTTAAAATTAAAATTTGCAGAGCCAATATTAATTCCCGAATTCTGTTCAGAGATGCGTATCATTCCCCAAAATACGTACGTCCACGATATCACATTACATATGTTATCTCTTTCATCTCAGTATGCTATTAAGATTCAGTTATCATCATCAGTATGATCTGATATGACTATGTATCCTTATCTTTGTCAATCTTATCAAGGTGTGTTGAGTTCGTAAACAACAACACATGTAGGAGTGTGTCATACAGGATGAAGTGGCATCTGGTGGGTATGGCAGGGATAGGCTCTTGTGCATCGATTTGCCGTGATGGTAACATGAATACGAACTGTATTCACACTGTTAAATGAGTTCGATAAGTGAGCCACTTAAGCACCCCTGATGCAATATCAGATTTATATCCATTTCATCATGCTAATTACATTCGTCCTGTTGGATCAGCTGGATCTATCGCATTATTGGTAATAAAGGAAGAAGAGATGATTATCCCAATCAAAACGTGTTGCATTGTATTGAAAACTAGAAACTATTTAACATTATAATTGTAAAGTTAATTTGTTGACTTGTTGCTGATATAATATGCCCACGTGCATGAAACACTGTAAGTGTATTTAATTTGTGAAGAGTATCATTTCTGGTACCAATGTAGAGTCAAGTGAAGACTCTGATTCTAATAGTATATGTACGCGCACAATACTCTCAAACAGAAGGTTCACTGTCTGATATTGACTCGATCAACACCTGTAAAGTATGTGTATACATTTTCACAATAGTTTTCGTAAATATCAACCTTGTATTACGTTTATGAATGGAAAATATACAACAGCATTGTTTGACGTTGTCGTCTTATCGGGAAAACATTCTAAAGTCACTCACAACACTGTTCAAAGTCAAACATATAGATCTGGAAAATAGGTTTAATTATTTTAGTTTTTTATTCAATTTTCCATCATATTTTACAATTCAATATCATACATAGAGTGCGCATGGATTTATTGTGACATTATTGGCATGTTTGTAGTATGGACAGGTCATATATCATAGTTATACAGAGTTTCTAAATAATACATGTAGATAATAATACATGTAATAGTTAACCACCACCCGTACTTTATTCATATCATATTTCCCATTCATATATTTATTTGAATATGATATTGTTTTCATTTTTATGAAGTTTCCAGATACAACCAATATATGAAGAAAAGTTGGTACAAGAACGCCATGTTTCACCTGTCACGTCTTACGATGCAGAGACGTAGAGAAAACAATGAAAAGGGAAGTCACCTAAGTAAGTTTCTGTATTTCAACATGAGTTACAAAAATGGAACTACATATTTAAATACACATATTGATCAGTGTTTAACTTATTTTCGGGGTGGGAAATGATCTGACAATGTCAGGTTCATTGTACAATTTAAGCATATAAACGTATTAAACATGAAGATGTAGGTACCAACATGTTCCTCAATAACCATGAACATTATGTTGAACGATTGCTGAGTCAAAATAATATTCCAACAATATACAGCAAATTTCCCCTTGGTTAGAGTGCAGGAAATACAATAATTAGGCACAGGTATTCATCACTTTATTAGTGACCGAAAACTGCAAAACAGGAAACGACATTCACGAAGCATAATGAACGGAAAGAACGAATCTATGTGAGGACAAATATTCTATTTACGAAAGCTGTGTTTATTGAATATTGATAATGATGACTGTTACTTAAGTACAACTGAATGTATCTTGTGATCAACAATAGTCACAGGAGATTACCATTAATTTTGTAGTTCGCATACGCTCATTCATACAGTTTGTTTCTCGTAATTATTGATAATGAATATGTCCGCACCATGTGCAGGCTTTATGGGTACGTGTGTTGGTGTACATGTGTCAATGGCACATTTATAGAGCAGTGGATAACCTGAGCAACAGGCTGTTTCAGTAATGATCCATTTGATAATAATGAGTAGACATATTTGTCACTAGATTATCTGGTCTGATTGCATACAGGTTGCCTTCGTATGGCAGGAGTATTGTTGAGTGCAGCTTTAGGCAACAAACACTTAATTTTTTAATGAACACTGTGTGCGTGACAGGTACTGCAGCAGATGCTTACCCTTTTCGCAGACACCTGGTGCCATTGTCAGTGATGCATTGATATCGCAAATTTGACTTTACGCCCATACGTAAAATTTACAAACGGGCTAGATCCCTCTTTCCTTTGAGCATTGTGTATGAAGTCAAACTTAATTATCAACTAATGTAGTGAATTAGAATTTAAGATTGAAATGAGATACAGCTGTTTTAATTAAGTCATGCGTAAAGTATTAGATGATTTGTGATAAGGCTGTTAGTGATCCCAGGATGAGATGGCAATGTACAATATAGTACATGTACGTTGCATTAATATAAGTAATGTGGTGGGACTACGGGGTGCGTACCTTAACATTATGCGGAATGCAAAACACCCTGAAAAAGGTGTTTATTTACCATCCTGGATATTGGGAACGCATGTAAACATATCCTTTGTTTTTCGACATTATTACCAGTTATCGTGAGGCTTTGATCTGATGGTATCGGGGTCTCCGTCGATCTCTTTATCAGTGTTTGTGATCTCTGCCTTCAAGCATCTACCTAGACAGGGCAAAGGTCAAGTTGGTTGGAGGTAGAAATCAACACACTGTGAACTTCAGTAACATTTGCAATGCAAATATACCTTTCTCATCGCAATAATGTTCTTGCATTGATAAACTTATGAGCTTGGTACAGTAAGATTCCCTTGGGCACACTGAAAATGTTCACTTTAAACTTGCAGAAAACGTTAAAATATGTTTTGGAAATAGTATCGGACTTTTTCATACCTTGACAACTCGCTTTCTGTCTCACGCTTGCAAGGTTGGACCTTTGACATGGAATATATATAATTATGCCAAAACGGTGACAAAGGTTGTCTTTTCACTGCCATTTCACTATTGCCTTTGTCTATTTGTTCAAATGGAATCTTTGATCAGAGATTTGCACATGTGTTCAAATATTAAAACGAAACGGATCCCGAGGGCCTCTAAAATAATTCTGTTTGACACATTTCACCCTTGCATCAGTGTTGTCAAAGTCGACAGCGTTGAATAGAAAACGTTATTATTCATGTACACATTTTGATAAATTGCATGTATTTGTGACAGGTGCCATCGCATACGCCCACTTTTTCGAGAACACCTGTTATCATCATTAATAGATCGCAATCCAAAGATAAGAACATGCTTATGATAGGATTTTCATTTGAGATTAAAGCTGAACAAAACTATTGAAATTTGCTAATAAATTAAACAGAAAGAAGATGTAATTCAGAATCAGTTCGTATTAACATGTTTGATACCCTAAAAGTATAATTACAAGACAACGTGAAGTGGGGAGGTCATTTTGTCTATAAGAACATTGTTTCAGAACCAATCCTTAATGCCAGTTTAACCAAAAATATGTTAAATGACATACTTATGTATACTTCACGCTAAGGCGATTAGCAAAACTCTAAAATTATTACTCATGGCGCAAGTTTGTTCAGATATCTAAAACAGATAGTATGACATTCCTTTTATAGAAGTACACATTATCAATAAACTATGAATAAATACAGAAACAATAAGGAATAAAACAAGTTGTTTCTTTTCTATAAAATACCATGCATAGTGGTCACCGAGATGTCATCCGGCGTCATGGAACAGACATTCTGTTAGTCATATCAGGACTTAAGCCATGACGTCTTTCTGGACCTTATTTACGTAAGATCATAAGCCACATTGAGAAATTCGGTTGGCGGCAAGATACGATTTCATGCGTGGCCAATAAAACTGAATGAACGGACCTGGGTATCTGTTGTGTAGATGTTATCTGTGTGGTTTTGTCATGTAAACATGTGAGTGACAATGGCCGCAAGTCAACTGTGTGGGGCATGCCGTTACAGTGTCTCACTTGAGAGGAGAGCTACAAAGGCTGACGGGGAAATGTGGAGTCAC